ATCACACGTAAAACACGGACCAGGGAACTAATACAGACAATTGAAAACAGCTGTGAAACACTGGGAATCGACATGAGGTTAATGAGGGGGGCGTGGCACATTCAGCTGCTGTGTCTTACTAACACAACATAATAAGAAAGACTTAACCCATCATAGCTTTTTCTCTTTTTATGTAAGTTTTATTTCAGGTCAGCTCTTAATAACCAAAGAGCTGTGTTTATGTAAGTTGAAGAACGTTGAAAAACCGTCATTATAAATGTATTTATTTAAGGGTTATTTGGGACAGAGGAACAACTTTGCTCATTTAATATTAAGATTTTCACTGAGCTTAATTTTTAGAAACCCACCACGATTGAGGATGGTATGGCATTGATACCTCAGTGCCTTTACCACATCTTTTGGGTTATCTGGGTTGGTGTATGCTGATTGATCTGAGTAGTGTAGTTCTTATGTATGTGCACCCCCAAAAAATATTCAGTTGTAGAGGTACAAATGTTTTTTCTAGAGAGTCAAGGTTTAGAAAAGAAACAAAATAATTGCAGTTCCCGGCCAATGCTTTCTCTGGTTAAGCTATAGAAGCTAAACTGTGCCACCTGGTTCTTGGCTAGCACATAAGAGCCATTTCTGTGGTTTTTGTTCTTGTAACAAGGCTTGTCCATTCTATGCATGAAGACACAGGTGCAAGCTAACACTTTTGTTTATTGGTTTGGCACTCAAACTCTGGGTGGGTCTATAGATATAGTGTAGTTTATGGGTGGTAGCATATTTCAGGTGGCCAGCTGGAATATGGGTTAAGATTGAGGAAAGGAGTATATTTTAAAGGTTTGAATTTACCATTCTCTGGGGAGCAGGAGGGCAGCATCACTAGTTAAAGGACCCGAGCCCAGGTGGCTACTGTGTTTAATCATATTTGGCTGCTTGGGACCAACCAGCACTTGGAAGGGAAAATAAAATATGTGCATCCAATCCCATCTAGGAAGGCCTCCAGTTTGTTTATTAACCCACAGCCCGGTACCCACAACAGTTCTCTTGCCCTATTCATCATAATCGCGGTGGATTAAAAAGAAATCCATATAGAAAAATGCTCTCTTTTAATTCCCTTCCATGTTTCCCCAGACCATCATCTCCTTTATGCATAAAGAAAAAAAACACAATCAATTTAATACACAGAAAAGGGGGGGGGGGGAATTTGTACTGAGAGAGTCATACCCTTTATGCTGGGTAGCTGGTGCACATTGGGCCTCTTACTGAATAGTACCCATACCTTCAGAGCGATGAGGAAAACCCATGCCTAGCAGGCAGAATGATCCACTGCTTCGGCTAGTGTTAAGGTCCAAGACCGGCAGAGGTCCCACAAACTTTGCCGGATGGCGCAGGTAGTTTAATTTTGCTGTTCTTAACACCGCTCCCTGCTAGCTTCTGCAGCTGACGCAGTTTCATTTGCTGATCTTGACTCTGTTCCCCACGACTGTCCAGCAACCCATCCAACCGGTGAAGCTTGGATTAATGAAAGTGAATACGAAAGTTCAAACAAGGAGACCTTATGGACGTCGTCATGTCCA